GGCGGACACAACATCTTTGTTGGTATGTGGTGCTGCTGAGGATCGAACCCGGGCCGCACGCATGCTAGGCGAGCGCGCTACCGCTTGAGCCACATCCCCAGCCCCTAAGCATTGTTTTTAAAGCTAACTCTTCTTAACTTTCAAAAAGAAAAAAGTAATGTGCTCTGGATATTTGGTAAAATGGTAAGAAACTTTAAAAGCAAATGTCCCTCTTGAATGTCTTCCTTGACTTTTAGTACCACTTGTGGTAGGCAAAATAGTGCTCCCCAAAAGGTCTACATCCTACTCCCTGAACCTTATGTGTTACCTTACATAACAAGAGAGACTTTGCAGATGTTTTTAAGGATTTTGAGGTGGGAAGATTATCCTGGACTACTGGGTGGACCCAATATAATCAAGTGAAAGAGTGGGACAAGAGAGGGCAGAAGATGTGAAAAGAAAAGTAGAGGTCAGAAAACCTATGAGCCAAGGAATGTGGGCAGCCTCTAAGAGCTGGAAAAGGCAAGGGAATAGATTCTTTCCTGCAGCCTCCAAAAGGCAGGTGATTATACTGACACCTTGATTTTAATCCCTGAAATTCTTTCGTTGGAACTCCTAGTCTCCAGAATAAGGCAATTATTTTGTGTTGTTTTAAGATGCTAAGTTTATGGTAATATGTTATAGCTGCAATAGGAAACTAATACACCATTTGGAATATCTGGTGAGTCTATGTCCAGATTCATTTACCTTACTGCCTATTTAGTACCTTCATACAGTTATCTCATAGACATCTCAATTTTATCTCGTCCCAAATTAAAATTTTATTTTTTCCTTCCCCAAATTTACTTTTCCTTGGTCTTTCTCATCTTAATAATGGTACAATCACTTAGTTCAATGACAGAAACCTGGAAGCCATTCTTTCTTTTTTTTTATAAGAAAAATTTTAAAGAAGGTGGATTCCTTTTATAATTTATTTTTATAAATTCCTTGGCTCATGGTGTTGAGGACTGAACCCAAGGCTTCATGCATACTGAGCAAACACTCTACCAGGAGCCACATCCCCAGCCCTGGAAGTCATTCTTGATACCTTGCCCCCATCATCCCCTTATATCTAATCCATGATTAAGTTTTATCAATATTATTTCCAAAATAAATCATATATTCATCTACTTCAGTTATCTCACTGCCACCAATTCTTGACTCTCATCCAGTCCATTCTCCACCCAGGAGTCCACAATATTTAAAAAGAAATATTTAAAAGAGAAATCTGATGGCACTTCCTTGCATTAAAACCCCTAATGTCTTCTGTACTGTTGGACTGATGTGACCTTTTAGTGGCTTCAAGCTAGCTGCAGGGAACTAATGGTTCATAGTATGCTGCAAATTAGACCTTCATCATTAATTGAAATACAGCATGAACTGCAAAAGTATGATGGAGGGGCTGGGGCTATAGCTGAGTGGCAAAGTGCTTGCCTAGCACGTGTGAGGCACTGGGTTTGATGCTCAGCACCACATTAAAAAAATAAAGATATTGTGTCCATATACAACTAAAAATTTTTTTTTAAAAAGTATGATGGAGTTTAAAATTCGCTTTGTACTAAGCAATCTCAGTGAGTGGTTAAATAGTTTCAGTTGTGGTAAATTCTTTAATGGTTGTAAAAAAGTTTTAATATTTTCTGTCAATTGGAGTTTCTATAGTGACTCAGAAATTTGAGTCAATTTAAAATATTAAATTCTTCATCAGGAGCCGGGTTAGCCTTTTCTCGCTATGTGTCTTTCAGGACAAAATAGTGGCTCGGTGTGGGCCAGGTGAATAGGAGACGTCCCCAGGGCCTTGGAACTAGCTAGTTAGTTACCTGCAGTGAAGGCCAACGCTGAACAGACTGTGATAATCAGTTAGAATCATCACCTTGTCACGATTGACACTCCATCAGAGCCTTACAGCACAAATGGCAAGGAGTGACGAGGCTTAACTCCAGGGACAGCTCTGGGACAGACGAGTATTGCACTCGAGTATTGCTTTGGTGCTGGTCTATGAAATGATTGAGTAAAGGGAAGAAAAAAAAAAAACCCACCTTGGGTGCAAGGCTCTAACAACTACCCCGTGGGAGGACTCGGGTTTCAGAGCGTGTGTCACCGGTGTGTGTCACCGGTGGAGAGAACGCCTCGAGGCGGGAACAGATTGGCAGGCCAGCTCGGCCGCCTGCCAAGCGCTGCCACGACGACGGAAAGTACTAGCTCCCGGGCAAGAGGCCTCCTGAAAGCGGCTGGGAAGGGGCTCGGGGCGGAAAGCAGCCAATCACGGGAGCCCTCGCAGGCGACGGCAGGCGCGTTCGCCGACTCGGCGATCAGGCAGTGGGAGCGTGTGAGAAGCCAGGTCCAGAGTCGAGCGACGAATCATCGACCGGCACGCCCGGGTAGTGGAAGCCCCGGGGGCGGGCTAGCGCCGGCCTGCTTTCCAGCTCCAGGTTGGGCTCTTGCCGGAGAAGGGCGGCGGCGGCGCGGCGCGGCGCGGCGCCGGAGGGAACCTCTGACCCGCATCTGGTGAGAGCCGCGCCTCAGCCACTCGGGAGAGCATCCTGCTAGACCCCGGGACCTTGTCTTCCCGGCCTATTCCCCGAGGCCCCATCTACCCGGCCGACCGCAGGCAGCTTTCTACCGCGGGCTCGCATCTCGATCCGGGTCTTGCCTTGAGCCCCGCTGCCCTACACAACAGGGTCCCCCTTTGGCCCTCTTCAGGGCCCCTGCATGTGGCTGCTGGAACTGGCTCAGTGTGGGCCAGGTGAATAGGGGCTGGAGGTGCAGAGAAAAGCCCTAGCTTGTCTCCATCCCCACGGGCAGTGCTGTCCAGCAAGGAAAGAGAGTGAACTTCCGTTACAAAGGCGAGCAAGAAAGGGTGGAGAGGTGCTTGACAGACAAGGTGTCCTGGGGTATGTTAAGGCTCTTCTGAAAATGGTCTTGAAGGATCCGCCCAGCCCTGAGTCTGTCTTGAGTCGGGTCTTCCCTGGAAGTTTGGTGGCATTTATTACCCCCACCCCACCCCAACCCTGAGCACACTTGTAAAATTGTTAGAACACAAGGAAGTATGTTTTGCTCCTCTGATAGGAGGGATGGGGTACAGCTTAGCAGTACGGATTACTGGTCAGTAAAGGTGTAGGAACTCAGGAAGGAGAAGCCAACCCAAATTATAGCTTGGGGATAGAGTTTTGAGTTTCAGACCACTTTCTGTAGCCCTTCTTATTGCTAAGAGTTTCATCCCCTCTGCCTGGAAGAAGGGTCACTTATTATGTTTTCTTCTAGGAAGATTTGCACTCACTCACGGATAATTTTGGAATGAACAGACCCAAGGCATACTCGGGGTGTGGGTCAGTGTCCAGAGGGCTGGTGGATCATCCAGATCTGGGTTTGATTTTGGATGATGTCAGCTATGCTGTTAGTGATTGGGGGCAAGTAAATCATTTTCTCTGTAACTCAGTGCTCCTGTTTGTAAGATGAAGTAATAAGAGGGGTGTGAGAATGAATTTAGCTAGTGATTATAGAGCTGTTAGCAAAGTGCTCAGCACTTTATTTACTTTGTTGTTTACTGTTACTGTTGTTTCCTTTGTTCACAAAGAACTCTTTCCACATTTGAGTGGGACGTTTTTAATTTTGTTGGAAAGAGTTAAACATCTTTTGACAATATGTATAATTGACAGTCTTGAATTGAAAGTGGTTTTTAAGAATGGAGTTTCTCAGAGATTGCCATTGAATTCAAGAGGAAGGCATACTATCTATTTATCCATTCCTTCCTAAAGGGCTGGGATGTAACAGCTCAGTGGTAGAGTACCCCTGGGTTCAGTCTCCAGTACTACAAAAAAAAAAAAAAAAGATTATACTTTTTAATGATGAAATATTTCAAATAGCCTGAAAAAGATATCAATATGATACCTTACCAATCCCCAAGATTAAACACACATTAGCAAGTTACCATATTTCTTATCTTTGCTTATTACATGATTTTTAAAAAATAAATGAGGCTGAGGCAGGAGGATCACAAGTTTGGGGTCGGCCTGGCAACTTAACTAGACTCTGTCTCAAAAATTTAAAAAGGGAATGGAGTGTAGTTCAGTGGTAGAATACTTGCCTAGCATATATGAGGCACTGGGTTCAATTCCCAGTACTGCCCCCTACCCCCCAAAAAGTTTATATACTGTATAGACAAAATTTACATGAAATAGTAAAGCCCTTTTACCCCCATTTTATTTTTCTTTTCCTCCCTCTTGAGAAAGGAGGATCACAAGTTTGAGGCTAGCCTTAGCAACTTGGGGATGCTTTGTCTCAAAAAAAAAAAATTAAGAAAGGGCTGGGGATATGGCTTAAGCACTCCTGGGTTCTGTTCCTGGTACCAAAAAAAAAAAAAAAA